TCCATCTCCATTTTGTTATTTTTATTTACATCTTTCCTCTACTATGCCTTGACTGCCTTCTATACTTACTCCTCTTCTTACTCTCCTCTTCCAACTCTCCTCCACCACCTATTCCTCTCTTACTCACTTTTACACCTCTTCCTCCCCCTCTCCCTAGTTTATTTTTTGTGCATATTCTCTTCCAATTTTCCTCCACTGACTCTTCTTTTACATTCCTCTCTTCTTCCGTTTTTTTCTTCCAACTTCCCTTCCCCTCTCTATCATTTCCCCTCCTTTATTTCTTATTCTCAATTGCTTATTCACTTATTTCACCTTTATTCCTTCCATTTAATCCTCTTTTTCACTTATCCCCCCACTCCTTCTCTTGCTGTCCCTCCTTTTCTGCTATTCCTCTCCTCCAACTCTATTTCCTCCTCTTCCTCTTCTCGTTCTCTTCTTCTACCCTTTGCCTTCATCCCGTTCCAGTTATTCTTCCCCACTTCAGCTCCCCCCTCATTTTTTCTTCACTTATTCTTGTCTTCCCCTCGCCTCCTTTCTATTCTTTCACCTCTACCTCTTCCTGCTTGTATCACCGCCTTAAATTTCTTCCCTTCTTATTCATTTCCTTCTCGTCTTCTTACGCTCCGCTAGCCCTTTATCCTCAACTAAGTCCTATCTCAGATCCACATTCTCTTCTTATTTCTTTCTATTTTCACCTCTTTCTTGCCTCATGCATTGTGCATGCTTGCTAGGAAAGATAATATGTTGACACTGACTACAAGATGGATCAAGTAGTAAAGCCACAGCATTTCAACTGCGTTTGCCCAAAAAATAGTGCCAAAATGAGGCTACTTACTGGCGGTGATGAGGAGCCGACATGCGTCACATGAGCCACACTCAATGACATCACATTGAGCAAACAAGACGGAGCAATTGTGGATATTCTTTTGGTGATGATCGTAAATACGACCCAACCTGCGATGTTGCCTCCGGACATGCAGACCCCATCTGTAGATCTTTTCTGAGAGCCGGAGTCACTTTAAGTTTCCCTTTCGGTGGTGCAAGACTTGATGGTGTACAGGTCTCGTGACGTCATTCAAGTTCACTCAGCCCTGCCTAACAAAATACCTTCTGGTCCATTCTGGAGTGTAGCCTCGTAGAAGAGATTGCCTCAGCCCAGCAGCCCAATCCTCTCGTCCAATAGCCATCTGGAGATTTCTGCCCACGGCTTGGCAAAAGAGGGTTTGTCCCGACTCAAGTCAGTGCAGAGGAGTCAATTTCTTCACGTTCATTTCTACTTGCACCCACCAATACCAAAAGCCGTCACTTGCAGTCGTCCTGCCGGTGGGTTGTGAAGCCTGATGGTACAAGAAAGCGCAATAAAAGTGGTCAGCTTCCGGCTCAGCCAACAGGGTCCTGCTCAAACCGGTTCGACTACTTTTTATACCAGCACCAGCTATTTATGAGCAGATGACGCCTCCCACCAATGAGGACTTGCAATTTAATCTCAAATACACATCTTATCTTCTATTTTGAATGCTGCGTTTACTTTCTGGTCTCGTTCTTGTAGAATATCGGAGAGCAGGTAGGTTTTACAAATGTCAGGATATCTGATAAACTCAGGTCCCTTAAAGTGATTAAGAGTCTGATAGCTCGTCGGAAGTGAAGACCAGCTCCAGACAAGGTGGGAACGGTAGTGGATAAACACGATTTAATGCTAGTTTCCAAACATATTCGTACAGAATATAAGTAACTTCGTCTACTGTAATGTCAAATCTAAGTATAAACTAGGTTTTAAGAAAATTCTGGCTTATATTTCA